AGTGACAAAATAACGTTATAATGATTGCTTTTATTTTCTAAAAGAATTCTATGAGCTGTTAGTTGGCCGAGTTTCATGGATGCTGGATATTTGAGCCATGCTTGCTTTTGTCCAGTGAAGGACCATACAGCAATGTCAATTCCAATAAGATTTGCAGTACCAAGGATCTCAACATCTGTAGCCCATATACTATCTGTGGCCATACCACTTTTGGTAATGTAGTTTTTAATATCATCGCCTAAATATCTGGACAAAAGACTGGAACAAGGCTTTGATACCATATATTCAACAACAACATTGCGAACACGTGTATGTTGACACTCAGAACCTGTCAACAAAAACGAAATTGCTCGAAAAAAACAATTGCTATCACCTTTGCAAACATGTATTTTTGAAGGTACATCATTTTCTTCTCCATCAAAAAGATCTGGCATTATAAATATTTTAAGTCCTTGTTCTTAAGCTATTTTTTGGAGAACTTCTTTGGTGGGATGTTTCATTAATTTGGAATTACGTTGACTTTTATCCTGATCAATGCACTCAGGAGTTAAACCATGCAGTTTTAAATTACTTTTCTCTTCAACAAATGGTTTAACATGATGTAGAGAGTACTTCTTCTTTATTGTGTTGTTCCCTTTAATGTTTCTTAATAAACATGTTGAGTTTGACAAAATATCAAGTATCTCATACGGACCAAGCCACGAGAAAGTCATTTTTCCACCTTTTCTATTTTCTTTTTTTAGATTTCTCAATAGTACTTTATGACCCACAAAATAATTTGATGGTGTTGTATGCTTTCTATCATAGTCAATTTTTTGTTTCTTTTGTGCACAAACAATATTGGTCATGGCTTTTTCTTCAAGCCCTCTTTTCATTTGTAAAGCTTTTTGTAAAACTTCTTTATCACATACAGGATTGTAGTTATCCCCATTGAATACATTTGTGTACTTTATATCAATTGGAAGATAGAGTTGTCGGTTATACATAAGGTAAAATGGTGAATACCCCATTGAATCGTGCACTTTAACACGTAAAGCAAAAAGGATTTCATCTAAAACTGAGGCCCAACTCTTAACATTTTCATTTAAGACCTTAACAATTGCTTTCTTAATTGTCTGGTTCTGTCTCTCCTCAAGACCATTGGCTTGTAGATGATAAGCAGAGGTTACACGTTGCTGAACGCCTGTCATATCATGAAGTGTTATGGATACTGAATTTACAAATTCACGACCTTGGTCATTAATTTGTATTTGAAAACAACCATGCCTGCAAATAACTCTATAAAGAAAGGCTGCTACTGATACTGCTGTTTTATCGATAAGAGGTTCAGCTTCAGTCCACTTATAAAAATAATCTATAAGGACAATTACATAATTGAATCCATTTGATTCAGGTAATTTAATTAAATCTACACCAACTTGTTTCATAACTTGTTGTTCTTCTTTAACAGGTTTCAAAGCAGGAGACACTTTTAGGTTTCTGTTAGAGGTTTTTTGGCATCGTTCACATTGAGCTACATGTTTGGTGATATCCTCCGCAATTGAATGCCAAAAAAATCTTGAAGAAATTTGCTTTTTCACAGCATTAATTCCTAAGTGGCTAGCTAATGCAACAGCTTTCTCAGAAGTACCGAGACCCTCATGGACTTCTTTAACAATGTTTAATTGTTCTTCCCGATCTTTTACCACAATCACCTACAATAAAAAAAATTATTTGTAAGAAATTTTTAAATTATTTTAATTTGTTTTAAAGCTATAAATTTTCGAATTTTTGAAAAATATTGTGTTAATTCAAAATAATGCACAATAAAGACTATTGTTTAATTCCATTATTTTATTTAAGTAAAAAATTTTAAATTAAATAAAAACTTCTTTTATAAAAATAAGTTTTCCTTACCTCGCCAACACCTTTTTTGCAATACATCAACTTATTGTCAACAATAACAAAATTTTTACACTGCCGTTTAAAATTTGCTTTTTTTCCTCTTTCATTCACATTTGCAGGAAAAGCATTGTCATTTAAATATTTTCTAACATCATTAAAGTACATCTTGACAAAATAAGCTATATAAATTGTAAACTAAAAAGCAGTAGAATTATAACGAGTGAAGTAAAATTTTAACGTTAATATATTACTGTATCAGTACAATTATTTTACCGCAAATGAAGTTTGAACGGTTGAAAACTTCCGCGCAGTAAAATTTTAATGCAGTAATTTAAAAACGCTACACCGGCATACCAATATATGAAAGTCAATCAGTCAGTATTACCAAGACAGTTTATCGAAATGAGTTTTATCAAAGTGTTTTATTGAAGAACATCAATACAAGAAGTCAAATACAACAAGTGTTTCATTATCTCAATACGGTCCACATCCAACCGAGACGTTGTGTTCCACAGAGCATTATTGTATAATCACAAGATAAAAGTAACACAGTAAGCCTTAAGAAGCGTGATTATTTATTTTTATAATTTTTATGGCTTCAAATGCAAAAAACGCTACTGACAGTCTTGCATTGGAACTACGAAAGAAAATAATAGGCGATTACGTAAATGGAAGGTCACAAAAACAAGTATTTGTGATAAATATCGCAAAAAAAAATTGACCGTATTAAGACTATGTTGCAAATAACGTTCTACGGGGAAGGTGGCAGCAGATAACAAACGTGGAAAACCGCGTTACACCACTTTTAGAGAGAATTCAATGATCGTCAGATCCGTCAAGAAAGATCCCTGGATATCATCAGTCAAGATACAAAAGCAATTAGAGCTGCCTTTATCGGACGGAGCAATCAGACTATGTGTAGTTGAAATCAGATTATTTTCTCGACGTCCTGCAAAGAAACCGCTGATTTCATTAAAGAATTAAAAAAAAGAGTCTAATTTGCTACATCTCATATTAAGTGGAACGTGCAGAAATGGCGAACTGTCCTTTTCAGCAAATCCACAAAGTTTCTAAGATCACCTGATTCAGTCTATGTCTCGAAAATGCAAGGCTATGATCGACAACAAAGGATTCGCTACGAAATATTGATAGCGAAATACAGCTTGATCAACTCTTTGTGGAGTTGAACTTGTTTTGTCCAGAAGAAAATAAACTTTTTTTAATACTTTTGATTAATTTATTAACTTTCGTGTACAAATAACAAACATAGTGATGGAAAAAACTTAAAGAACGTTGTCTACTTAATTTGAAGTAATACGTTGTCTACTTAAATTGAAAAAATGCAGCACTTTTTATAAAGAAACTAAATTAGCGTTATTTGGTGGCACTTCTTTATATATATATATATATATATATAATATATATATATATATATATATATATATATATATATATATATATATATATATATATATATATATTTCCGTTGTCGTTTTAACCACAACGGAAAAGCTTCAATTTTAAGAGATAACCATGAAAGCATTCAATATACGATTAAAGAATTGTATAAAAGTTTGCTTAATTTCAACAGTTTAAAATTTAATTGTTTTTTTTTAAAATAAACCAATCAAGTTATAAAAAAATTTGCTTTTTCTATAAATTTTTTACATTTAAGCTTAGTTTAGCAAGATTTACAATGGATAAACCTAGTTGGACCCTCACGGGATACCGAGTAGGCATACCTATATGGACCCCAGAGGATAACCGTGGTTAAGATCTGGCGGTTTCCCAATGAGTTTCCTATATAGGTCCTATTTGCAAACCCAAATGGGCCCCATTCGGTTTTAAAGTACGTGAATTGACTGCAACTCATACGGCATACCCGGTGGCTTACCCATAAGAGCCCCATATGGAAACCGTAGCCAAGATCTGACGGAATACCGTTGGTCTTTCCATATGGGACCCAGTAGACGACCCGTATGAGCCCCGTACGGTACCATATATCATTTACCTCTTTTTATCAAAGGAGTTATCATTAATATTTAAAGAAACGAAATAAAGATAACAATTACTTTCATAAGTAGCGCAACATGATAATGCACCAAATTTAGCCAAATTTAGTAAACATAACATTCGTAAAGTATTTTCAAATACCTAAGACAATGTAATTAAACGTATTTATACCAAAAAAAAACAAAAAAAAAAAACACCTTTATAAGAAGCGCTGACATCATACCAGTACTCACAATAACTTAAGCGAATATAGCCCTAATAATAATTTAGTTATGAATTTTGTCAAGTAAAGGTGATTTCTGGCCAACTCTGCAGTCTTATGATGTTTTAAAACATTTTAAGCTACTTTGAAAATTTTATCTCTTGTTCGTATAGTAAATACTCTATATGTTATGTATAGAATAATTAACTCTTCAAGTAAAAGTTGATATACACTATAAAACTATAGACATGTTTTAACATTGTTTGAAGATTACATAATTTAGGTTTTTGTATACACCTTTGTTCACATTTTTGAAAAAAAAAAGTACTGCAACTCGTTTTTGCCATTACCTCGATTGCAAAGGCTGCTAAGAGTTCCGTGTTAAACTACCACTACTGAATCTTTTAAGTTTGGCATTAATATATAGAGATAATTTGCGTTTTTTTTTGCTTGCATAAAATATGGTTTTGTATGTTTTATGCAAGCACATGTTTATTTTAAGGTTTATCTAACATGTTAAAACATGTTAGACAAACTTTAAGATTTTTAATGCAAACTTTAAGATTTTAATGCAAAAAATTTATCAAAATAACGGCCTTGTTTGTTAGTTTTGGTATTTCGCAGTTAATAAGTTAAGAGAGGATTGTAAACACATTATTAAATTTTACATTTATTTATATTTTATTTATTAAACTATTTTATTAGCCTTTTCACTACAGTTGAAAAGGGTAATAAAGTAGCTTTTTTTACTGTAGCGCCATTTTCCGCTTGGGGAGGTAAATTGAATTAAAAAATTATAATAGATGCAGTAAAAAAATGTGCTAATAAGTTAAAATAACATAAATAAAATTCAAAATTTAACAACTTAAAATGTAAATTCAAAAACTATAAAACAACTTACCAGCCATGCTGGGGCCAATTACAAGTCCTATATTGTAGCCTGAGAACACTACACCTAAACCAGTTGCTAGGTTACTATCATCGCATATATCTGACATATAAGCTATTGTAATCACCATGATTCCTAAAAAAGTAGATAGATATAATGATAGAAATCATGATAGATATCATCTCTTAAAAATGAGGCATATTAAAGTTTTTTAAATATCAAAATAATAATTGATCACACTAAATTTTGTAAAGATACATTAAAAGATCCTATATGAAATTTTAATTAATTTTTTTGAGCTTAGAGAATTTACTCAGCTTATCCTTATCACTTACTATTTGTTTACATCCATGCAAAAAAATATTTTATTTCTGAGCGCCAAAAAATTGTTTTCCATCATGCCTACGTTTGCTTAAAATCATTAAGTCTGCAGAAAATCAGTTTTCTTAATCCGTATGAAAAAAGCAGACAGGCCTTGACAGAATCTTACTAGAAGAAAATTTACTAAGTTATCTCTAATACTGTGGAATTATTAATGATCGTGTGTTATTAGGCATTTACATGACTTGTCAATTCAGGAGCCTTTATATTCCTGTTGAATTTCGACTTAATTGTTTTTAAACCATTACAGGATGCATCACCAAGAGGAACAGTTTTGATAAGACATCCGTAAGGAATACCATTGATTTGAAGAAAAGTTGAGTGTTCAATTAAAGTTTTTTACAATTGTTATTTTATCTAATTAGCATTACAAAATGTAAATGATATAATTTTAACATATAATATAATTCTGAGGGTGATCAGCCGCACAACAACTTTTTTCTGGTTCTTTGAGTGTTCAAAATATGGTTTTAATTTAAAAGAATAAGGGTTTTCAAATTCTGAAATAAGAAAAAATAGATCTGCTCTCAGTCAGTTTAACCCAGTAAGGCTAACTTTCAGCAAAAATTGCCGAATGTGGCTAGGCATTGAGAGATTAATTTACCATAAGTTCTCTAACTTGCTTGACACTTGCTGCCAGTTCAGAAGATTGCCAAATGGTTCACTGCCAGGATTTGTTTAAATCCTAAGAAAAATCGTATCATCAAAAGATCTTAAACACATGGCTATTCTGAAGTTTCGAATAGATGTTGGTGGCTCTTTCTTAAAAGTGAGTTTAAGCCTAATTGACTCAAAGCTTGATGAGTCTGAGCCACATAGTCCTCCTTAAAAGGGAGTCAAACTTTGGTTACAAGAGAATCACAAAAGCTCAGTCGTCATAAGCAACTGATTATGGAAATTATAGAAAAAACAAAAAAAACTTTGAAAATATAAAATTGATTTTTAAACTCATTGCTCTCTCAGCTCCTCGGTTATCTCTCTATTATTTATTAATAAAGCTAAAAACTAAAGCTGAAGGTCAATTAGAAGCCCTGGATATCTGCCTCACTTGGAACTCATTTAAGAAAAGTTGTTTCAGCTTTTTTTGGCTGCTTTCTTTCACTTGATTATGTTTTGAAAATCAAAGATTTTGAATCCAGTTTACTGAAAATCAAGATTTTTGTCTCTGCAAAGGTTCATGCTACTTTTATCTTGTTCAATAATTTATCAAGGTGAAAAAAATTTACCTGAGAATATACAGTAAACAAGCAACCAAAGCTTCTTGTTTCAAAAGTCATTCGGAAAGAAAGAGATATTTCTTATTCCGACTACTCTCAAGCTTCTAAACTGTGTTGCTGATTACATTAGAAAAAACTGTGCATCAACTCTATGGGATTGAACCAAGTTGTAAATAAACTGAATAAGAAAAATCTGAAAAATTTTATGTTGCTAGAATTATATTTTGAGAGTGTTTTTAATACCAATATGTTTTTTAACTAGAAAAAAAAGTAATAAAATAGTTCAAGGATCAATTCTGTGTACTTCTATATAACAATTAATTTTTTTTGGGTGAAATAATATTTTATTAAGAAATCAAAGGATGCTATGATTTTATAAATATTAGTTATAATAAAATGATAACAAATATGTTGGATTTCAATGCAAGATTTTGAAAATGCAATATTTTTCTTTCGAGGTCTCAAAGTATACTATTTTACATTGCAAAAAAAGAAGTTAGTTCAGTCAAAAATAGCATTCATACTGTTACTAGCGAAGTTGCAGCGGTAGTGTACCGAGAAGAACCGACGTGCATTGGTTAACCGAAATTGCAAAATGATGGAATTTTAGTCGGACGGATAATACACCTGTATTCAGTGATATCTGGTTCTAAAGTTTTCTTAAATAAAGACGCTAGCAAAATAGTGACCCGTACCAGATGACTGGGTATCAAAGAACGTCAATCAGCTGTGTCAACAAAACATTGCTAAGAAGATAAGAAAATATTAACAAACTTTCATGACTTCCAGGGTTAAACAATATAAAAGTTCATGTTATAAGAAAATGAATCGAAGGATACAGAATGCTCAAGATTTCAACATGCATATGAGAAGCTGAGCCTATTATCAGAGCAAATGATGTGGTATATTAACATAAAAAAGAGTCGTTATTTAGGCGTAAGCGGCAGGGGAAGACTGGGCATTGCATTTTGAAAATAGCTACAGATCTTACTCAAAAATTTGTGCATCATCGATTTCAAAAAAATGGAAAAAACGGTAAAGAGAAACGAAGGAAGACATCTGTCAATAAAAAAAACGTAGAACGCTATTGAGTAAACCAGAAAGCAGATATATGGACGCCTTAAACACATCAACGGTGTACAAGGAACCAATTTGGAAAACCAGAACCATGATTTTGTTGCCATGCTTCCAATCATGCAAAAAACACCATTTTTAAAATTGAGCAAAGACTCTATTGGTCCAATAGACATGTTCCTAAATATTCCGGTAATAACTAGTTGTAAATGGTTGGACGAAAGTATAGTAAGATATACAATCTAGTGTTTATGCGACAACAAAATCAATTGCGGTGACATAGTTGGTATCATTGAAAAAAAAGCTAACAATATCTTTAGTCTGAGGTAAGACACATCTTACCTTAATGTCCAGATTGCGGCAAATGATCTTCTCAATAAAATTGCTAGTGATATTGTCACGACCAAACGATAACGACCAAAGCTGACAGACATAAGTTGTAGCATTTTAAGGCGTACCGCTTTACAAACAGTGGTCCAGAAAAGGCAGAGAACATTGATCACACTTTATATTGAATAAATTTCTTATTTAAGATCTGAGGGTATAGCAGCCTAAGAATTCAAGCTGAAGTGTCTTGCATTGTTAGCGTACGCTACGGTGGATAAAGTGAACGGTGCTATAGATTTTTAGATATCACACAATTTCTTTGGTTGTAAGATATTGTTAAAAAACTTAAGTGCTAAGGAAAAAATAAAATTTTAAATGTTGCGCGCATTTGATACTGGACATCAATCATGCTATCAATATAGTATTTCGCGAAACGAGTAAATAATAGGAGTTTAGAAACTGCTTAACATATCAGTACAAACTGGTAGAGACAATCAATTTAAGACTATTTTGAAGCGACTGTGGATAAAAAATAAACAAACTTGTGCTAGCCGTAACAGTTAATATATAGAAAATACAAAGTAGTAAATATTACTATTGACTATAAAGATGTAATATACATAACGGAATAAAACCAGAAAATGAACTCTTAAACAACATTAATACACTACTCAGTTTATCCTGTGAAAAGTGATGACATGTTAATGTCTCTTCATGTGAATAATATTATTTATTACTAAATTAAATTTTTTTTTTAAATAGTTTTCAACAGTAAAAAGTCCAGATTATAACGGTAGCGGCCTAGTAATACTTTGTATGCATAACAAAACTACAGAATTGAATTCAGCAACCACAAAATTCTATAAAAAGAGATATTGGATGTCATGTTTAAGGCTTTAGTACTTGAAGTGTGATGCAGTGGCTATTTTTAGACACAGCCTCACACTTTATTTGAAAAAAAATGGACTTCTAACCTGTATTCAGGATAGAGTTCTGCGTTAAAGTTTGCTTCGGATAACACTTGTCGACTTGAAAAAAAAGTTTATTATTTTCCATACCTTAGTAATATACTTTGGTATTAAAATGAATACCAACAAAATTTATTAATAATAGTTTAATATTTTAAAAATATTATAAAAACAATTTTGATTTTACAAACAATTTTTATTTTATATTATGAAAATATATTTTTACTTTAATAATAAATATATATAGATATACAATCATCCAGGATATTTACAAACAGTTATAAAATGATAACGTGTAAAGAAATATGATGGTATAAAATAAAGCATAATAATAATATTAATTAAAATTAAAATAAAAATTATAGTAATATATCAGCATTATTAATGATAACAATAATTAAAATAATGATAATATTAAAAACAATAATATAAAACAGAAAAACCTATATGTATACTTTATTAGTACTATATTTAAAATATAGCAAATAGTGACTATGATGATTAATAATATTACACAATAAAAATTATTAAAATCATAATATCAATAAAAAAATAATATAACAAATAAAAAGGAGAAAAGAAAATGGAATTTTATTGACATAAATTTTTTCCATGTCTGGAAGTTAGCTAACTCAACGACTTAAAATGCTTGATCCCGCCCCTGCTTTAAGCAGAGACCATAACAGTTTTTATAGAAAAGAGAAAGAAAAATTGAGAGAAATGGGCTTAGATCTGATTAAGTTTTAAGTTAAAACACACAAGATACTGCAAACACCAAGTCGTGTAAATCAAATAATAATCTTCCCCTCGAAACGGAAAAGGGAAGCAAACGAGGTATTATTTTCATAGCTAGGGGACCTTAAGCATCCCTATTAGCCACATTAGCCACAGAACATCCAAGGCTGACGCAAATGGTGTACACTTTATCCACACTACCCTATCGATGAATTTTAGTTAATTTAAGCTGCAAATTGAGCACTTTTACACCAGCGACTCGGTATATGTAGACCAGATAAAACAGTCGGCACACATGAACTTAGTATTGTTGGTAAATGTGAAAAGCATGTGCTTTTTTTATTATTATTAGTATTTTTTTGGAGAAAAAAAATAATTTTTATGGCATTTTTTGCAACATTCATTAAAAGTTCTGGACCCTCCTTGTTGTAGT